CGCTGCAACTTCCGCCCCAGCAGTCCTCTGCAGCCGCGACCCTCAACAGTCGCCTGCCTGCCACCAATTTGGGAACGGTTGGCGCAGCATCCATGGCGGGGGGGAGGGTCACACCTGTGGAGGCCACCGCTACGGAACGCACCAACCTCCCCCGCGCCCGGTAGAACCCCCCACGCGGCTACCAGCCTCGCGGTCCGGGTACCCTACGCCTGCCTGGCAGGTGAGGGTACCAGTCGCGGGGCCCGTGGACGTGTATAGGGGGCTCCTATGGACGTGGGAAGAGACCTTTGAGCCTTCCACTAAGGAAAGCGCTCGGCGCCAAAACGAGAGCCACATTTTGAAAAGGAACCGCCTCAATCCGTGAAACTCTCTGCAACGGTTTAAGACGGGTGTGCGCGGCGCTCAGGAGAGAGCCACATTTCAAAAACGGCCCGCCATCAATCCGTGAAACTCTTGCACATGTTTAAAACGAATGTGCGCGGCACTAAGGCGAGAGCCACATTTTGGAAGCGTCCCGCCCTCCATCTGTGAAACCGCTGCCAATGTGTAAGTTTCAGGACCATGACCGGTGAGAACGTCTCGGGCGAAAAGCCTGGCCCGCCTTGTCGACTGGCCTCGGGGTAAGACAGGAAGGAGTTACTGACAAGGAGAAGGAATGGAGGAGGAGGAGGAGGAGAAGGAATGGAAGAGGAGGAGGAGGAGGAGGAGGAGGAGGAGGAGGAGCCCCGCAGCCTCCCGCGCGAGAAACTGCGGCGCCCTCCCGTCCCAAGGGGGAGGCCTGCCGCGCCAACCTCCCCGCGGGCAGGCGGCACGTCGAGGCGGCGGCGGCTGCAGCGGCCGCCGCGGGGGCGCCGCCGCGCGACGGCCGCGGGCCGCCTGCCGCGGGCCGCGCGGCGGCGCGGGCGGCCCGCGGCGGCAGCAGCGCCGGCCCCGCCGCGGCCCGCTGGCGGCAGCAGCGCCGCTGCCGGCGGCGCCGCGGCCCGCAGCGCCGCGGGCGGGCGCCCTCGGCGCACTGGCGGCCTGCGGGGCGGGGCCGGTCGGCAGCGGCTCGGGCAGCCGGATGGGATCGGGGCGCGCGTCGGATCGGGGCGCATCGGCAGGGAGGCGGGGTCGAGTCGGAGGGGCGGCGCCGGGATGCACAGCAGCGGCATGCAAGAGTCGGGCCGATCGGGCGCATCGGATCGCCGGAATACTGGAACCGAATGGGATCGGAATAGGACTTCTCGATCGTCCTTGCCAGACTTACGCTGAACCACATAGTAGGCTGCAAAACGGGAGACAGAGACTCTGGCGATGGTTTCTCGCCAGAAACTCTGTCTCCCGTGGTCCCGAAGAGGAGGGGGGTCTAGACCCAACCCCCTCACGCTGTTGAAAATCACGGGGCGAGGTTTTTGAACGCTTGCGGCCTCCTTGGGCCCTCCCGGGGACGAAAAGCTGGTCTCGGGGCAGAGGTCCAGTCCAGACCTCTGGGGGACCACGTTGCGATCAAACACTATGAAGAGCTGAGCCACTCTTCGAGGATCTGACTTTCCTGGCGTTCCTCTCGAGTTAAGCCTCCAGGTGCCCGCTGTCCGGCCCCAGGGCCATCAAAAATGAATCGACCGGGGACGCAAGGCTGCCCATGGGGAAAGGGCTGGTAGAAAGGAACACATCTGCAGGAAGAGAAACGGAATGAACGTAATTTCTCTGATGCCCGCGCGGATTTCTTGGATCCATGCTGGACCCCCCTCCCTGGCGCGCGGAGCGCGCCAAGGGCGGCACCGGAGGCGCCGTCAGGAGGGCCAACACCGATCCAAGAAATCCGCGCAGACCTCAGAGAAGTTGCAGTCAAAAGTGAAATCAAACAAATTATAATCTAAGAAACCTGGGCCAGCTTCCAGGGAGCTTCTTGAAACAAGCCTAGGCCACCTTCTGTTGTTAACGCTGGAGGGGCGAACGTGCTCGAGAAGAACCTCGGCTAGCTTTCGGGCGAGGTGGTTCAGCAACGCTGGTCCAGCTGTCTGGGAGCAGGCTCATAAATCACATTCTCGACCCAATGTCCCTTTGCTTTTTGATATTGGGATCTCGGAGGATGTCCGGGAGTAGAGGGCGGGGCAGGGGAGGCGGAGGGGTGGGGGGAGGGCTCGCCCTCGCAAACGCGGCCCTGGATGCCCATCTGTCCGGGGCCGCATGGCAGCCAGGGAGCAGGAAGAGGGGAAGATGAGTAGGAAGGAGCACAGCGGATGAGATGAGTTCGAGGAGGGGGAGAGAATCAGAAGGAGGAGGGGGAGGCCGAGAGGGAAGAGGAGGAGGAGGGGGAGGAGGAGGAGGTTACCTTATACGCATATGTATACACATTCGACACAGATGCACCTGCACACACACACACACATACATGCATGCATGCATGCATGCATGCATGCATACGTACGTACATACATACATACATGCATGCATGCATGTACACATGCATACATTCATACACATGCATACATGCATACATGCATACATACATTCATGCATGCATACATACATACATCCATGCATGCAAGCCTGCGTGCATGCATACCTACATGCATAGATACGTGCATGCATCCAAACATACAACCTTCCAAAGATACGCATATATTCATACACACATACATACAAACATACATACATGCATACATGCAAGCATGCATACATGTATACACATGCGCACATAGAACCGTGCATGCATGCATACATCGATACATGCATACATCCGTGATTATATGCATACATACACACATGCACACGTACATGCATAAATACAAACATGCATGCATGCACATATATATATATATATATATATATATATATACGCACATTACACAGCTCAATATACGCATACATACATAAATCCATTCATATTCACATAAACACATACACATATACATGCGTACAAACACACATACATACACATACACTTACAAATACACATACACATACATAAACAACATACAGCCATGCCTACATACATTCATACATTCATACATGCATTCACGCAGACATACATGCATACATGTACACAGGCATACATGTGTATAAATAAATGTGCATATCATAGCATGTATTCATACTTCTATACTGCCTGACACATTTACTTGCATGACATCCCCCCGTAAGGTTAAGATTTAAGACTATGTGGCGTGAGGCTGTTCTCATCCTCATCCTAATCCTCATCATCACCATCATCATGGCCACCATCATCATCATCAGCATCATCATCATGGCCACCATCATCATCATCATCATCATCAGCATCATCATCATCATCATCACCATCATCCTTGTCCTTCTCCTCCTCATGTTCATTCTCGTCTGCATCCCCCCATCCTCATCTCCTTACTACTCCGTGCTAGTCGAACAAAAAGAAATCCGCACAATCAAAAACAGTAATAAATACATACAACCAAAAACAATGAGAAAAGCTTACATTAAAAAAAAAGAAACCCATACAGTCAAAAACAATGAGAAATCCACACAATCAAGAACAATAAGACATCCGTACACTCAAAAACAAAAAGAGAACGTCTTGGACCACGAACCCTGTGAGGGTACCCCTCCCCCACCCCACAAAAAAAAACATGTGATGTACCGAATACACTAAACAACATCGATGGCGTTCGTGCTTTCGGACTTCCTCCTGGCTCCTCCAACGCAGATCCGCACAATCAAAAACAAATAAATCCAGATCATCAAAAACAATCAGACACCCCTTCGAATCAAAAACAAAAAAGCACCAATACAATCGAAATCAATAAGAAAACGTCTTGGGTCCACGAACCCTGTGAGTGTACCAAACAACCAATGACCACCAAAAACATACATCAAACTGTGAGGGTACCCATGAAACAAAACATCGTTGGTTTTCGTGTCTTCGGACTTCCTCCCGGCACTTGCAGCCGAGATCCGCCCAGGCAGCCTGAAGGCACTAAAGTCATTGACTATTGTTTGTGATGGTATCCTGACAAGTTTTGTTGGTTGCTGTTTCGTTTTTTTGTAACCTCACAGGTTTCGTGGATCCAAGACGGTTTCTCATTGTTTTTGATTGAACTGATATATTGTTATTGTTGACTGCATGGGTTTCTTTTTGTTTCTGGTTGCATGGATGTCATATTATTTTTGGTTGTACCGATTTCTTCTTGTTTTCTTGTTACACATCGTTTAGATTCCTTGAAAAATATTAGATTGTGCGGATTTGGGCTGGAGGAGCTCGGAGGAAGTCCGGAAACAAGAAAAATCATGTTTTTTCCTCTTTGAGGCACACTCTCAAGTATTTGTTCTTTCTTTTTTGGGTACCCTCAAAAGGTTCGTGGGCCCAAGACGGACTCTTAGTGTTTTTGAATGTACGAATGTCTTCTTGTTCTTGATTGTGCGGATGTCTCCTTGTTTTTGGTTGTATGGATTTCTTAGTGTTTTTGAGCGCAAGGTTTTCTCATTGCTTTTAATTGTGTATGTCTTTTTGTTGTTGATTGTGCCTATGCCATTATGTTCGAATTGCGGGGAAGAGTAGGGAGATGAGGATGAGGATGAAGGCGAGCATGAACATGAGGAGAAGGAATAGGATGATGATGATGATGATGATGATGATGATGATGGTGATGATGATGATGATGGTGATGATGATGGCGATGATGATGGTGGTGACCCCACCCTTCGTCCTGACATGGGGAGCAAAGGAGGAGGAGGAGGAGGTGGAGAAGGGGGAGGAGCCGGAGGAGGAGGAGAAGGAGAAGGAGGAAAAGGAGAACTGATGATGATGATGATGCTGATGATGATGAAGATGATGATGCTGATGAGAATGATGATGATGATGATGATGATGATGATGATGATGATGATGATGATGATGACGATGGTGATGCTGGTGATGGTGGTGACGATGATGATGGTGATGATGATGATGATGATGATGATGATGATGATGATGATGATGATGATGGTGAGTATGGTGATTATGATGAAGATGGTGATGATGACGAAGACGGGGGCGAGTAGGGATGATGACGATGATGCTGCAAAACCGTCGCGGGCCAGCTAAGACGATTGGCAAACGAGAAAGCTTTGGACAAATGGTAGACTATCGTGAGCGCGAAGCTACAAGAGCGAGCCGTGCTGGTCGCAGCGCACGAGCAGACCGAGCTCGATGCACGCCCGCGCGAAGCACACCTTGCCGAAGGCGCCGAGTGCCAGCTCCGCGCCAGGCGCCTCGGCGAAGTCCCGGACCCGCGTGCTGCTCGTGGTGAGCGCGGCGAGGATGGCGTGCATTGTGGGCTCGACCCCCTCGCGCGCCTGCAGCCCCTGCGGCTGCGCCGCGCCCGCGGCGCCCGCGCCGCCGCGCTCCCGCGCCCTCTGCTCCTGCTCGGCGGCGCTGGGCCGCCGCACGAAGCTGTCCCCGCACAGGCACCCGGCCGCCTCCAGCGGCCGCGGCACCGCAGGCAGCTGGTCCTGCCGCTCGTTGTGGAGCCGCCCCTTCTCGCGCAGCTCCCGCCGCAGCTCCGCCGCCCCGATGCCGAGCGCCCTCAGCCGCGCCTCGCCCGCCGCCAGCGCCGCGGCCTCGGCGCAGGCGGCCACCGCGCTCGCCGCCTCCGGCGCCGCGCAGACCAGCGCGGGCGGCGCGGACGCGCGCCACCGCAGGCTCCGCGCGCGCTGCCCGCACTGCTCGCCCGGAGGGCCGGGCCGCTCCACGTCGGCGCGGAAGGCCGCCACGTCGGCGCAGCTGGCGCCCGCGCGAGCTATCGCCGCCGCGGCCAGCGACGACCAGGCCCAGTCCTGCGTGGCCAGCGCGACGGTGAGGTGCAGGCTGCCCTCGGACTCCGCCGTCGCCGCCTCGTGCACCCAGCCCCGGGGCATGTACAGCACGTCGCCCGGCTCCAGCGTCTCCTCCAGCAGCAGGTTCCCCGGCAGCAGGGTGGCCTCTGGGACCGGGAGCTCGTCCGACTTGCCCACCTGTGGGGGGACGCAAGTAAAACGACGCGAAGATCGGGACAAAATCGGATCGGGATAACTCGAAGTCTCTAAGAATCGGCGGGTTTGGAGGATGTATTGGGCGCCGCGGCCGCTCCAGAGCGTTCCGGAACGCTCTGAGAGCGCTCCGGAACGCTCTGGAGCGATTTATCCCGATCCTAGCCCTGTTTTAACAAGAGGGCTGGTGCCGATACTCCCCGGACCTCTCCACAGGTGCGTTTTGCCCGGGATTTCGAGGAGAGTCCAGCCATGGCGACGAGGGCCCCCAAGAACGAGCAGCGATAACCTACCCTGTGATCCGAGGGTGCCCAAAAAATTGCAACAGATCGAACAATCACGATCAGAACCCTAGACCCTGGACCCAATCCGTCTTCTGGAATTCTCGAGCCAGCTCGATATGTGAGGGTACCGGTGCCCGCAGTATTACAAAACCGCCCTGCTGTGAAAAAGATGTAACGCCTGGATCTCAGGGCCCTCCTCCTCTCGACCTGCTCGCGCTCGAACGGCAGCTGCACTGGTGGCTCGGCGTAGACCTGGGGAAACCAAAAGGTACCGATACCGCTACTCCCCAGACCTCTCCCGGGGTGCGTTCTGACCAGAAGTTCGAGGCGAATCCAGCGGTGGCGACGAGATCCTGCGAGGAGGCCCAAAAAAGGGGAAAACGGCCGAAGGGCAGAGGTATGGGTACCCTTTCCTCCTCTGAAGACTCTCCAGCGCTTGCGCCCGGCGCACTGCCATACCAGCACGTCACGGTCATCCGCGTGCGGCGCCACGGCCTGCGACCCCGGCGGCGTGAGGTAGCCGTTGGCGTAGGCGTGCGGCAGCTCCTCGCGCAGGCCCACGCAGAGCGCCCGCACGGCCTCGCAGCTCGCCTGGAGGCGCCGAGCAGCGGCACGAGCAGACACGTCGGTGAAAAAACGTGAAGTCGGAAGGCGGGCAACAGTACACTTCGTTCATTTCTAATCGTGCTCGTTGCTAATTGTGCTCGCTTCTAAGTGTTCCTGGCCCCCTCGTGGCCAGGAAGAGGCCCAGGATAGAAGAATCAGAAATGAAAGGATCTCGGCCCCCCAAATAATCAAAGAACTTTCGAATAATTAGAAATGAACAATGTGTAGTTACACGTCGGTGGAAACGTGAAGTCGGAAGGCGGACAAGAGTAGATTGAGCGCAGGAACTCCCAGAGAAGAACAGAACACATCAAGACCATGCCGAGTCTTGAAGTAGGAAGGGCGCTAGAAGCGGATTGGGATCTAGGAATCCAGAAGCACCTGTTTCCAAAGACCAGCGTGTAAACTTTCGACGCTCCGCGCGGATTTCGTGGATCTGCGCTGGGACCCCCTCCCCCCTAGCGCGCGGAGCGCGCCAGTGGCGGCGCCGGAAGGGCCGGCGGGAGGGCCCCACCGCCGATCCAGGAAATCCACGCGGAACTGGCCTCTGTCGAATCAAATACATACACACACATATATACACAAGATAGATATATAGATAGGTAGATAGATAGATATATAGATAGATAGATAGATAGATATAGATAGATAGATAGATAGATAGATAGATAGATAGATAGATAGATACATAGATAGATATATATATATATATATAGACAGGTAGATATATGGATATATAGGTATACTTAAATATATATATATATATATATATATATATACACATATAACTATACATATATGTAAAACAGAAAGTATAAACAACACAAAACATAAAACACTTATAACTCAATGAATACATACATACACACACAACGCTGCTCCCCGCTCTCCCGGGGTGCGGTGTGGCCGGAATTCTGCATCGGATCCGGCCGTGGCGAGGAGGGCCTCCCTGGAGACCCAGGAGGCATGGAAAGGAGGCGAGGCCAGCGCTCCATCGGCACGTCGGTGCCTCTTCCTCCTCTCCGCCCCGCAGCCCGCCTCCAGGTGGTTCACCACGAGCGAGCAGCCGGCCAGGTACGCGGCGTGCGGGCTGGCGAAGTCCGCCGTCGGAACGCCGTCCTCGGCCCATCCGCCGCCCAGTGGGGGCGGGCGTCGGAGACGGCCGCGGGGCCTTTTAAGAAGAAAGCAGGGGATGCGCTCCGAAGCCCGCCCAGCTTCTTTGAAGGGGCCCTGGGACACACAAATAAATACACACGAATAGAAAGATTCCCCATAGTTTCCCATATGTTCTGGGTTTCTGTCTTCCCCCCCACTTCCCATAGTTTCCCCTATTTTCCTAGGAATCGACGATTAATTGTGTCTGTGTGTTTTTTCCCCTCTTGATTCCTGACTTCTTGAGACGGCGTCTGGAAAGCTCCTGGGCCTTCCGATGAGGTCCCTGACTTCTGAGAAGCCCCCCCCGCCTTCTTCGCAAGGCCGTGCACGGCGACAGCAGAACCGAAAAGCGACCGAACCGACAGCGAAACCGAAACCGACCGACATGGACGGGCCGCAAGCAGCCCAGAAGGCCGCAGCGACGCAGCAACGGCACGATCACCGGCCGAACCGAACCGACCGAACGCAACCGACCGCCACGGGCTGGCCCTCGGGCCTGCCGTCGGCTCTCTCCCCTGCGCCACGGCGTGGCCTCGGCAGCTGCCGCGCCTCTCCTGCGCTCTGCAGCCCAGCGGTCGGCCACGCCCGACTCTCGCCGGGACTCCCCGTGGTGTGCACGTGCCCACGGGGATTGGGGGGCGGAAAGATACGGATACGTGTTGTCCCTGGACCTCTCTTGGGGTGCGTTCTGACCAGAATTTCGAGGCGAATCCAGCGGTGACAACGAGGATTCCCCAGGAGGACCAGGAAAGGCCGAAAACGAAGGGGGACAACACGTATCCGTATCATTTTCTCCCCTGAGGGGGGTGGACTCGTCGTCCTGGCCGAACGGACCAGGCCGCGAGCACCCGTGCTCCGAAGCCCCCCACCCCCGCGCCGCCCGAGCACGGGCGGGCCCCGCCCGCGTCCTGCATCACCAGCACGCCCGCCGGCGACGCCGCGCTCGGGGGCCCGAGGGCGAAGGCGGCGTCGAGCGCGGCGAGCAGCCCGCCCCCGAAGTGGTGCAGCGGCACCCGCGGCGCCCGCTCGCCGCAGCGGAGGTATCGGCGGCCCCAGAGAGGGGGCCCCGAGGGCCCACGGGGCCCAGAGGTCCTCCTCCTCCTCCTCCTCCTCCTCCTCCTCCTCCTCCTCCTCCTCCTCCTCCTCCTCCTCCTCCTCCTCATCCTCCTCCTCCTCCTCCTCCTCCTCCTCCTCCTCCTCCTCCTCCTCCTCCTCCTACGCCTACGCCTCTTCCATCCCGAAGGAAAAGGAAGGGGAAAGATCCCACCTCTGGGGCCCGAGGTTGCTGGACGCCTTCGCCGGGCCTCGACGGTGCACTGGCCTCGGAGTGATAGGCCTGTTTTCCACTGCCACCACCATGAGTTGGAGGGGGAGGGGGTCCTCCTCCTCCTCCTTCTCCTCCTCCTCCTCCTCCTCCTCCTCCTCCTCCTCCTCCGCCTCCTCCTCCTCCTCCTTCCCCCCTCCAACTTATGATGGTGGTGGTGGAAGACAGGCCCATCATCGGAGCGCTCGCGCCCGTGGCGCCTGATCGCCGCGGCGGGCCAAGGATGAGGCCTACTGCTGCGCACGGGCAAGACTTGTCGATCGATGGGCACCGAGGGGCCGCAACTGTTTTCCCAGGGTATGGGCATCATGCTTAGCCGTTCCGTCTCCAATTCGGACGCGCAGAGCCTCCCGATGAAACGTTGGCAAAACCTCGTTCGTCCGCTCAGCATAACTGCGGGAACCGAAGGAAAAAAACAGAAACACCCGAAGGGCCCCCCTGAGCCCATCCCCCCCAACGCTGCCCCTGATACGGTCAGGAACTGTTGCTAGGCGTGTCGTGGCGGCGGCCCCAGCGGCACGCTGGCACTCGAACGGAAAACGTGTCGCTCCGCTCAGCGGGGCGGGAGGCCCAGAAAGGCTCGGGATGTTGACGCCTGGACAGGGACGTGAATAGAGTATCGCGCCTAGGTTTGGTGGGCCTGAGCTGGCGGCGCGACACGACAAGCCAAAGTTCCCGACCGCATCCCGCCCTAACGTCGCTTAGGGGCCCCGCCTCGGGTCGGACGAAAGGGTGATAGCAAACAGGGGGCTCAGGAATCAGCTCACGCTCCTGGTGTTCCAAGCGCCCACCGGCGCCGAGGGCGCCCCTGTGTCGAGGGGAAGCGCCCGGCGGCAGTGCCGAAGCCACCCCCCTTCCCACATCCACCCCCCGCTGCCGGAGGAGGAGGAGGAGGAGGAGGAGGAGGAGGAGGAGGAGGAGGAGGCCCCTCAGGGCCCCGACGTTGGAAGCCGCCGATCAGAGGCGCGGCGCCGTGCCCCAGACGCTGCCGAAGAACTCGGCGGGCGTCACCGCCGAGGCCGCCAGCATCGAGGCGAGCGCCGACGGCTCGCCCGGCGGCTCGGGCCGCGGCTCGGCCGCGGGACACCGCGGCGCCCCGAGCCTCGGCCCCTCCTCCTCCTCCTCCTCCGCCTCCTCCACCTCTTCTTCTTTTTTTCCTTGATATGATTACTATTGTCGCTATTGTTAGTGCTCTTAGCATTGTTAGAACATGTGGCAACAGTTTAGCATTATTCTTCTTTTCTTAACATCCGTATTATCAGTATCATTCCTCATCGTCTTTCTCTTCTTATTGTTCTTATTATCAGTACCAACATGCATAGTATTAGTAATATTATTGTCATACTTGATATTACTATGATTATGATTATTAGAATCAGTATTGCTAGTTTTCTTCCTCCTCCTCATCCTCCTCCTCCTCCCCCTCCTCCTCCTCCTCCTCCAGATCCTCCTGATACTCCTCGTCCTATTCCTCCTCCTCCTTCTCCTCATCCTCCTCCTCCTCCTCCTACTCCTCCTCCTCCTAATCCTCCTCCACTTCCTCCTCCTCCTTCTCCTCATCCTCCTGATCCTCCTGATCCTCCTTCTGATCCTCCTGATCCTCCTCCTTATTCCTCCTCCTCCTCATCATCCTCCTCCTGCTCCTCCTCGTCCCCCTCCTTCGATATTTCTGTTTGTATTAGCATCACTAGTATTAGCATATTGAATCTTATTAGTATTCATATAGTAGTATCATTATGAGTAGCAGTAGCATTATCATTATGGGCTGCGATGGCGAATGCTATTTATGTAACATTGTGACTCGTAGTATTGCGCGTGTCTTCTTAATACCATTACTAACACTATTCATGTATGTAGTACTCCTCGCAGTAGCATTATATTTGCGATTATTATTGATACTAGTAGTGATGTCATTCGTATCATTAATATCAGCCTGGCGACTCGTAGCATTATTCCGCTAATTACTAATATGATCAGCGCTCCTCTTCCTAGTATTACGATTAGTAGTCGTCTTATTGTACTGACCAGTCGTAATAGCATTCGTCTTGTGAGTCTTATTGTTCTGCCCATTATGAATATTATTCTTGGTCTTCGTATTAATGTTTTCAGTCGCATTGCTATCGTTAGTAATATATCATCATTATCCACCTCATCCTCCTCCTCCTCCTCCTCCTCTTCCTCCTCCTCCTTGTCCTCCTCCTCCACATTCTTGTCCTCCTCCTCCTGCTGCTCCTCCTCCTCCTCATCCTCCTCCTCATCCTCCCTCCCCCTTCTCCCTCACCCTCCTCATCATTTCCTTTTCCTTACACATCACTTCTCCCTGTCGCACCCCGAGGCCAGCTTTTAGGACGGGCCGGGCGTTTCGCCTGAGGCTTCCTCATCATTTCTGGCTCTCTAGCGGGTTTTTTCAAAATGTGGCTCACGCCTTAGCGCGGCGCACGTTCGTTTTCCAAATGTTCATGGGCTTCACGGATTGAGGGAGGGTCGTTTTCAACATGTGGCTCTGGCCTTAGCGCGGCGCACTTTCGTTCCAAACATTGGCAAGAGCTTCACGGATTGAGGGCGGGTCGTTTTCAAAAGGCGGCTCTCGTCTTAGCGCGGCGCACACTCGTTTTCAAAACGTGCACGAGTTTCACGGATTGACGGCGGGTCGTTTTCAAAATGTGGTTCTCGGCACACACTCGTTGTAATTATCCTGGCGCAGGACCCAACCATATGAAGTGGAGCTCCCTAGTTGGCCACGGAGCGCTGCACTGGGTGGGGGGGGAACGCGTGCGGGCGGTAGCACTATGGAGCTCCCTATGGGGCCACGAAACGCTGTACTTGGAGGGGACGGATGCGGGCGGTAGCACGGGGGCCGTCGGTGGAGCTCTGTATGGAGCCACGAAGCGCTGAACTGGGTGCGGGGGGTGCATGCGGGCGGTAGCACTGGGACCTTCGGCGGAGCTCCCTATGGGGCCACGAAGCGCTGTACTGGGTTGGAAGGGGACGCATGCGTGCGGTAACATTGGGGCCGTCGGTGAGGCTCCCTATGGGGCTACGAAAAGCTGTACTGGGTGGTGGGGGCGCATGCGGGCGGTAGCACTTAGGCCGTCCCTGAAGCTCCCTGTGGGGCCACGAAACGCTGTACTGGGTGGGGGGACGCATGCGGGCGGTAGCAGATGGACCTTCAGTTGAGCTCCCTATGGGGCCACGAAACGCAGTGCTGGGTAGGGGGGAAAGAAGCGGGCGGTGGCGCTGGGACCTTCGGTGCAGCTTCCTACGGGGCAACGAAACGCTGTACTGGGTGGGGGGACGCATGCGGGCGGTAGCAGATGGACCTTCAGTTGAGCTCCCTATGGGGCCACGAAACGCTGTACTGGGTGCGGGGGACGCATGCGGGCGATAGCGCTGGGGCCGTCGGTGGAGCTCCCTATATGGCCATGAAGCGCTGTACTGGGTGGGGGTGGCGCATGCGGGCTGCAGAACTGGGACCTTCGGTGGAGCTCTCCATGTGGCCACGACATGCTGTACTGGGTGGGGGGGACGCATGCGGGTGGTAGTACTGGGGCCTTCGCTGGAGCTCCCTATGGGGCCACGAAACGCTGTACCTGGCAGGTGGGGCGCATGCGGGTTGAGCTCTCTATGGGGCCACGAAGCGCTGTACTGGGTGGGGGGGGGGACGCACGCAAGCGGTTGAACTGGGACCTTCG